GTGTGTGTGTGTGTGTGTGTGTGTGTGTGTGTGTGTGTGTGTGTGTGTGTGTGTGTGTGTGTGTGTGTGTGTGTGTGTGTGTGTGTGTGTGTGTGTGTGTGTGTGTGTGTGTGTGTGAAGGTCTGTCTGCAAAAAAGTACCATAATTTTCCACCTTTTCAGCCTTTCTATCTTTGCTTCGTTGATAATTGAAAATGAATCTTATCTTTTTTTCGAAATACGATTAACACTAGGAGATCTGCATCAAGTTAACTAAATAGATGATCATAGGAAATGAAATGTCAATTTTCCTTCGGTTTTCCTTCCAGTCGATTTAGCCTTCTTATCTTAAATTATTCTGAATCAGGAGGTGTCAGAATAGTTGAACAGAGCTAGCATTAAACTGAAAACTTTATAGGTGCAAGTGATAACACAGCAGAGAATCAGTGCAGCTGCAGGGTATTTTTAATGATTTACTACTGACTATCACTATTCTTTCAACATATTTGAACTCCAGTTGAACAGACGCTAATTGAAAACTTTGGCTAAAGTCATTATGGGACGTAAAAAAATTCAAATTACAAGGATTCAGGATGAACGTAATCGACAGGTCTGCTTTCCGTTCCTTTTTTTCTTCATACTGTTTGTCTTATGAAAGCATTAAGATTTCGTAGACCGCTTGGTTAGCTGTGCAAAAATTTCGTAAACGCCCTAAGGACGTATAGGTCCCTAAGACACTGTTGCACTTTTTTCTGAATGTCATGTCTATTTTTTTCTGAATGTTAATTTTTTTTGGCATCACGCGAAAATTATTAAATACTCAAATTCGATTATTCAAATATTTCCACTTCGCCTCTTACAGGTGACGTTTACCAAAAGAAAATTTGGCTTAATGAAAAAGGCTTACGAATTGTCGGTGTTGTGCGATTGTGAGATAGCTCTCATTATCTTCAATTCAACGAATAAACTATTCCAGTATGCCAGCACTGATATGGATAAAGTTCTTCTGAAGTATACTGAATATAATGAACCGCATGAAAGTCGAACGAATGCCGATATCATGGAGGCTCTACAAAGGAAGGAAAGCAAATTGGGCGGAGTGGAATCGGATGAAGATTCTCCTGGCTCTTCAACTCCGAACCTACCAAACACTTCATCTGGCAGTGCTGCACCAGCTGTTGCATCCGTCACCAGCAGTACATCTAGCATGGATTTCAACGGTGTCACCAATATAGCACAACAAATTTTCAGCTCAAACGTATTCCTCTCTCATTCGGTCGTTTCTTACAATGGTTCGCAAGATTCAAGCGCTACCATCGCTTCCTCTTTGAGTCGACCGCAACAAATGGAACCGATCAAAACGCATCAATTAGGTTTCCCCTCAACAAGTTCGTTCCTAAATTATGCTGATTGTTCCTCTAGTCCACGATCTGTGGTCGCTATAACAACCAGTAATAGTGGAAATTGTGCTGATAGTCCAGTTTCTTCTTGCGAGCAACATATCAATATCAGTCAGCCAACGCAAAGTGACACGCAGTTGCAACTCGCGCATTCCGAAACTGCCGTCGTAACTCGAGGTCATTCTGTATCTTCTGATTTGAGGTTGACCTCAAGCACTGGTACACGAACCGGTCCAGTTGACTTGAACCAAGAACAACAGCAACACCTTAGTGTCACAAGTTTCAATACTTCCTCTTGGTTAGCTGTGCAACCAAAATCTTATATCAAAGATGAACCCAATTCACCGCCGGAAAAAAGAACACGAATCGACGGTTGGCAGGCTCAACCCATAACATGATATTTGTATATGCATATTCCATTAGTTGGTTGAAATTCTCATTTTTAGAAATCTTGGCTGACACTTAGTTCTTATTTTTGAGAATTGATATTAACAAACATAATTCGTTATTTACTGTTCAACTGATTATATCCAGGTAAAATACTCCAAATTCAGGATTTGAATCACTAACAGATAACTGCAGCAATTTTAAAGTTGTTGAAATGTGTCCATTTAATAAGTATAATTACATAGTTTTTGTCCGTAAGCTTCGAAATTATTCGTTGCTGTTTCCAAATTATTAATAACTGAGCTGTTTCTTTTTTAAGAAAGGATTTCTTTTTTTTCATCTTGATTCTACTTTGAGCACTGCACTGTTTTAGCTTTGTTGTAGTTGAATAATTTTTTCTATAGGTGCTTTATTCTTATCATTCTGGTATTTAAACAGTTTGTTGTCGGTTTCTTAGTTCAATTTTCCACGCTCAGACTGTTTTTATAAATTATACATTTTAAACGGACCGCGAATAATTCATGTTTTTCTTCATGCAGCGATTTTCACCAATTATTTTTCTCACTTAGATGCGTTTTCATTGAAGCTTTTAAGTAAGAACGAATCCCATTCGTTCTTACTGACAAAAAAGAACAGTTTCAGGCAGTGTAAACACGAAGGTTACATTCAGTTTCGGTGTAATACTAATTATCTTTTAGACTTCTATATATGTATGAAGCCTCTGATCATTGACAATTATTAGAACTATTAAGAATTTTAGACCTTTATCACTTTTATGAAATTTTTAACAAATTACATCCTTGTGAAGGGATTATCTTCTGTTCCGATTCAAAATCTGAACTAAATCCACTGTGTATTCTGAGCTTCTGCGTTCATATCGGACATTGCATGCATATTCTATTATCCCGTGACATATTCAAAAATTAAAAAAGCTGAACAATTCCACCGCGGATCACGCATCTGTTTATGCTGAGATAGCTATGGAAAGTGTCTCAGATTTTTCAAATTTATTCCGAATTCCATCTTCTTCCAACTCTAATTAATATTTATTGACTGGAGATGTCATTGGAGGTATTCTGTAGCTATAATGAAAGTTCTTATATTATCAGAAATGACATCTTGTAAACAGTTTTTTTTAACGAATCATTGAAAAGATTCGCTTGGAAAGATTGAGAAAAGCTTTCATCCTTGCCAAAAATGTTTCTCATAGGTAAACATCTTCCCTTTGAAATTTTTGTCATCCAGTCGCGTTGACAATTTTCAAAGAGCTTTGATTTGATGATACAAGCTGGGTGATGGACTTGGCCTACAACATCAAACAGAATAGTGTCAAGATAATTATGTTAATATAATCAAACGGGTAATGTTACTGACGAATTAGCCGGTTCCTTATTGGAAGAGTTAGATTATATAGTCATATTTCCTTTAAAAAGCCATAAAAATTATAAGATTTATTGAACAGCGATATTTTATTCATCTAATAGTTATCCCTTTGCTGCAAATATAGTTTACATAGGTCAATGTTATATTTTGTGTCTCCGTTTTTCCAGTCATTTTATGTGCGTAATATCACGGGATGTGTCAACTCAGAAAGTCAATATATCGTTGCCGTCGGTAAACTCCATGGACAAAATACAGGTTATTTTTTAGAACTCTTATTTTGAAGACACTGAAACATTATTTCAGATGTTAATTGGAAATCTCTAAAAGACTGATACTAAGAACTTGTTTAGCTTTTAGTAAATGATTTGCAGCGCTCAGTTCTTTCTTCTGCGTATCTAATATTTTGCTTTGTAAGATTAAATTTGGATTTTTGGAAGCGGCACAGAATGGAAAGTGCAAGATACTCTCCCACATCCTACATTACTTTAAGAACACATCCTTTAGAACATATTTGAAAAAGTTTATCCCAGTACTGCTTTTGTTTGCACTGTGAAAAGAATGAATACGACTGAGCATAAGCCCCCGATGTGCGGCGCTCACCATTGTATCTATATCGGCTCATTTGTAAAATGCGTTTAAAAAATTTTGAGAAACAGAAGCCATAATTGTCAGCACCGTGAAAAAGTAATAGAAGGAAATAAAACATGAACAATAATTTGGTTGATTGAGGCCGAGTAAATCTAAGTCTATCCTAACCAGACATTTTTTCGTTCTTGGAAAAACGAAAATAACTTTTCTCACCATATATAAAGTAAAATCCGCATTTTGTTTGCTAATTAGACGTGCTTGCTAAGTTGAGAATCTGCACATTAAGCCACATGACTGCCACACACCTAAACTACTTTTGTAACAAGTGAAAATCAAATTTCCATGTACATATACTCCAAATTGAAGCATTCCGATATTGACAAGTAACATCAAGAGGGTCATTTTATTTAATCTTCTTTAAAAAAGATTAATCTCAACAACATTAACGATAAAACTGAATATGTATATATGCTTTCAAGGAAAAATCTTGTAAAATTGAACAATAAAGAGATGAAAAGGGCTTGAATGCGGATATCTTCTAGAGAGAGAGGTCATGCTTTGCGAATCAGTCACCAAACTAGAATATTCCAAATACTTCTTCGGCTGTGACCCGGTTACCTCTAGATGACTTACGGAGCTAAATTCTCGTGACAAAAGTGATAAAGACAACCAGAACTAAAAAGATTAACGTTCCTGTCCCATCCCTATCTCCTGACCCTTGATTCCCGCTAGGTAAACCTTTCGCATGAACCTAAACTGCAATTGCAAAACCGGCCAAGTTCCAGATGTCCAGCAGACTGCAAAATTTTCCTGCCTATTCAACGCCACTTTTCAAGCAGCAACACGGGTAATATCTTGTTATAAACTTCATGTAAAAGTGATGATGACAGAACGTAAATGATATCGCGTTGGGAAAACATGGAACCATATGCTGTTAACAATCTGGTAAAAAAAATTCGTTCCTTGCTGAGAGTCCATCAATACTTGCGTAATTCTGAATGACGTCTCTGGATAGGCATCATGCGGCAGCTGTGCTGTAAAAGCGAAAAGTTGGCTATCAGATATCACAGCCACACTGTTCTCACTCGCAGTGACATCAAGGTTACATGTTGGAGAGTAAAGATAACATAAAAAACTTTTAAAACGACATTTTTACATTTCACTTTTCTTTGCGGTCTTCTATATATACAAATGAATACCCATATCAAGCAAACGATTCAAATGATTTTCTTATGAAATAAATTCCCAAATTCTGAATATGACTAGGATTTGTCGTCGGATGCGCAATTAGCCCTCTACGACAAATTCTAGCCACAATAAGCATGCAATTTTGAGGTAAATTGCATATTGCTTAAATAAGTTCTACGAAATATCACACCTCATTTTTCAAGTAGAATCAGAAAAATGTTTCTGTAGATTATAACGAATCTCTATATAAATAATGCCTACTTCCAGAAATGTTCATACGGAGCTACCGGTATCCACGACAAGGACAGTTAGCCTGACTCCGCTAAAATCAACTGCCGTCTCTAATTCATTCTTTTTATTACAGTGAACGGAATAGAAAGAATGAAAGTAACACACATTCACCTCATTAAAATCATATCCATAGGAACTACTCTTATAGGCAGACAAAATCACACAACAGTGCAAGACTATGCAAAGGAAAAAAAAAAAAGAAATCTCGGTCAAAAGACTCAGCTCAAATGAGCTAAAGATTCTTCGAAACATATCTGAAAATAAAAAAGAACTGGCAACCACTTTACAGAATGAAGCTGTCCCTTCTAGAGGTAAATTTCAGACGGAATATTCTGAAAATAAAAGATTTCAAGTAAATTCAGAAGAAATTGAAACAGATTCAATGAATCCATATAACAAGTTATCAAATCAACTACGACGAGTATTTAGGGAAATTAGGTGGATTCGTTGACTGTTGAATATTGGCCATAAACTGTCGTAGTTCTTCAGCAATTAAACGGGTATTGAAATCCTGCTGATAGTAAGGATACGGTTGTTCAAAAGAATGGAAGTAACTGGCATTATTAGCACCTCCTATTACAGCATCAGGTGGTGGTACCATCGACACCGCAGGATTTGGAAAATATGGCATCGACTGACTTGGATGTGGTGATTGTTGCTGTTGTGTGTAGTGCATGATAGGACGAGTGGCACTCATCTGAGCAGAACCTCCTGCTGCTGCTGCTGTGCTAGTTGCTGATGCTGATGACGTAGATGCGGTATTGTTGAATGATAATGGAGTTGAGGATACGCGAGATGCCTGATATGTCTGCGGTGAGAGGTCCACTGGATCACTGTCATCAAGATCGATGCATACAACCGAAGGGGTGACGTCCCGCCTTTGAACTCTATTCATGGAATTTTGCGACGGCAGTTGTTGTAGAACCTAAAAAAACATAAAAAGTCATTCTGTTCAGTCAGATTATCATCACTGCCTATAGTAAGGAAAATGAAGGATTAGAGATCAATCCTGATAGGAATACCATATTCAAACAAGAGAGAACCAAAACTAAACATTAGATAGAATAACAGTGACTCGTATATTTAAATTTTACTAATAGGCATACTGCTTTCTGAATTTGCCTGAAGATTAAGAAGTAACTATCGACACAAGCTAGACATTGTAAACTCTTTGTAAAAAGCTATAATAAAAGTGTAAGAAGGGAACCCTCAACTGCCAAGAACTGAAAAGAAAAAAAATTAGTACCTCGTCATCATCGTCACTATCTAGAATTATGACATCATCATCTGTGACTCCATCCAATCGATTACCATTATGTAATACACTGTTTTTAACACTTTTAGAATGGCTTTTTGAATCGTTCGAAGAGCTTATTTCTTCATTATCAGATACAGATTTTTCTTCCTCATCAAATGGACGCCAACCACCTTCACGCAACAACTCAACTTCTGTTATATTCGCGGTTGTATCCTTCAGAACTCTTTCAAAATAGCTGGAATCTATCCAAATTTCAATCCAGTGTTAAAAATTCGTGTAAAATTAAAACACCGAGAAGAGCAAATGAAATTAAATTACAGTTGGACTATTACTTACACTTTCCTTATCAAAATGCGTTGAAATTGAGTCCCTAGAGCACACAGCCCTATACAAGTGATTCAACTAAAAAAGGAAAAAAACATTTCCTGTCTTTAAACTCAAATTTTTTTTTTTGTGGAATGTGATGAAAAAGCAGCGTACCCATCAATAATTAGTTTCTTGTAAGATGCACCATTATTACAAACAGCACACTTCCAAGTCGGTCGTTTCTCATTCATTTTTAAAAAATTTGATAAATCGAAGCACTGTAAGTGTGTGCAGTCAAATGCCTTGACCGGTATTATCATTCGTGTTTTTCCAAGCTGCAAAAAACTCGTAAAGATCCATCACTTTTCTTTAATAGAAAATTTATGCTTGTATACATAATTAGTGGCTAATAAACAATGAAAAAAGGAACCTCCCAAAACAGAAATGAAGATACCATGGAATGAGAAAAACACTACACCTTATGGGTTATAATCTAAAACTAACAGCAAAATAAGCTTGTGTTCAATGTTCACCTAGTTCCTTCATGTTGGCAAAAATATCATTTGGAAAATAAGCTTGAGTTGTACGGGTTTCATTTTCAAATTTTTTTTTTCTTTTTTGTTAATGATTCTTTCGTCTTATTTAATACATGGAATATTACAGTATTAACAATGTATATTAAAGCATCTGAAATTTGAAATAAGGTTTTAAAATGCAATTTGAGATGGAAATGAGATTTAAGATGAACATTTCAAACAATGTTATCAAACAGTAATATATATGACCTCACTGTGTAACCGCAACAAGGAATCGTTGGGAGGAAAGATACACTTACCGGGCACAACAAAGAAATCCTCAACGTTTCCATCTGTATCGCATCATCATCGCTAGATAAGCGATTTCTAATCATGCGTTTTGTTTCTTCGGCATCACGACGAGTATCGAGATTAGCTAATAGACGCTGACTGAAAATAAATCGTAAATTTTCCACTCCCAAATTATCAAGTACTTTTTTAAGCATTGAGAAAAGTTGAAATCCTTTACATCATTCAAATCAAATAATAAAAGTATTGTTTTCGGTGGGTATAATACATCTAATCTGCATTAAATGAATCTATCAAGTGTTAAATGAAAACAGCAAAGCCGAAATCTTACAGCAATATATCGGAGGTAAGCCTTTTCACGACATAAATACCGATTGCCCAAGAGCGTTTATCTGCAGACCACTCTACCACCAACCGATGCGGCCGTAAAGCATCTCGTGGTGGTTGACAGTAGGGGGTTATGTTCACCGGACGACTTGGCCTTTTCGGTTCCGCATTTGGTTTATTCGTTGGAATAATGTTCTGAACAAAGGAAAATAAACTAAATTTGTGAAGTAAAAATAGAGTATGACTGCGTCAAACATTAAAATGGATGAGGAACTCATTCTGCAATTTATCACTCTTGGGAATTTTCAGATTTATGGGACAGTTTCTTAAAAAAGCAGCTAGATAACTCAAAATCTACATTTACCGGAAGAGTGACAGGAACATCGTCTATCTTCACACTGCAATTGGGTGGGAAATCATCGTGTTGCTCAACGGAATGGTCCAGCAGAAAGAATCGTAGTTGTAACTCAGTACGCGGCAAGGCCGCAGATTCATTTCTGAAATATGGAATTAAAACACAGCGCCAGTTTAACAAAATACAAAAGCGAAAATTCAGTCATCTCTCCGAGTCTTGAAATAGCCATCAAACTAACCTATAAGCAATATGTGGCATAATGTTCGATGGGATAGCAAATGTAAATGCCAAACGAGATGTAGATCGAATACCCGATATATTGGCCGGCAATTCAGAAAGTTCAAGTAATGTTTGTTGCTGCAGAAAATATCGTTCTAAACATAATGCCGGAAAAATCATATTACTGCTAACCTGATGGAAACTCTGGAAAAATTCCAATTAAGAAAACATGAAACGAACTTTATCATAAAATGGCAAGTCAGCAATGTTCAGAGTCCTAGTCTGAGTCATTTGTGATGAAAACGGATTATGCGCACTGATATACTGTTGTTGCATCAATGCCGATGATAATGTTATGACAGGATTGTAACCGTTCATGACACTGTTACCATCCACATGATTATACATGGGCACTGAAGGTGCGCTTGACGTACTGTAACGTCGACTGGAACTAATTTCGCGAATCTTTTGTATTACTGCAGCCTGATTACGAGCGTTCTGTAGCAAATTAATGCATCTGAAATGTGTTTTATTAAAAGCAGAGTTACCAAGCAAATCAAAACTTCACGACACATTCGCATGGATAATAAGTTCGGATGCATTATTACAATTCTTCACCACTACTAGAATGAGGATTTAATGAATAGTTCACTTATTTTTTAATGAATAGTTCACTTATCAAACGAGCTCTACAGACACAATCACTGCCAGATTTTTTATCATGCTAAAAAGGTTAATAAGACGAAAAAACTTACCGTTGAACAAGTTCTGTCTTTTTCCCTAACTTCGGGCACTTGAATGACGACAGCAGAATATGAAGCTCGTTCACACGGAATTGTTGTAATGATGCCTACAAAATGACGAAGTTTTTTCTGGGAAATTAGTGAATTTCCCAAAAGTGGAGTTACCAGAAGAGTCAAATTTTTACGACACACTTGCAGGTTAATGAGTTCGATGATCTATAAATCACCGGTTTCCAGCATTTCTTGCGCCTTGATCAAAAGTTAAGAAGTCTCATCAAGATCAAGAAAATCTGAATTTAATAAAATAAATTTAAGAAAAGAAACTGGCCAAAATTTAGGGAACATATCCACTGATGCATGGATGTAGATTGCTGGTGTTGTGCTGTTGCAGATGAAGGCCGACATAAGGGATCATAAGGATGTATGGCCGGTGATACCTAAACTACGGTGGTGGTGTATTGAAGCTGGGGCGTTGACCTGAGAAAGCCCTCGCAACATTTAGCTTATTCCCTCTCCCGTTTGAGGATGTTAAGTTGGTTTTTTCAATCTTGTATTCCAAATTAGTTGAATCTTCGAGATTCGCATTTCTCGAGGAACGATTTAACACAGAACTGTACAAGTTGTAACCAAATTTAATTTGTAATTTGATGCAAGAATCCTATTAGTTGGTTTTAACGCAAGAAAAATATAAGGAGCACATGTTGTTATGATCAACATCATCTCTAAATACCATCTTCATCCTACAACAGATAACATACAGCAGCTTGAATGGAAGGACGAAAAAAACATCGCTACATGAAGTCGATGAAGAGGTCACCACCACCATATTACTTCTAGTCTTTCTTTTTCTCCGCTATATGCCACACCTTCGCTGCTCACAACATATCAGATACTGACTGTGATGAGAGTCAGAAATTCAGTAACATTTTCTTAATGTAACTATCCCTCTTGTGATGAGAGTCAAAAATTTAGTAGCATTTTCTTAATATGACTATTCCTGTAACAGATTCAAAGAGGATAACATCCGATGAGCTTCCAGAATATCTGCCCATCTTTTCACCTTCTTTTGTTTAACCATTCAATTTCTAGCTTTCTTGATGATAGCTCCACTGCTGGTTAAAGTAGGTGACAGACCTCCTAACAAGTATATCATATTTACTAACAAATCATACTGTTTAATCTATCCATACGTTCCGAAGTTAGCATTTGTTCTTCCTCAAAATAAAAGCAAAAGTGGGGAAAAATATCGAACTTACTTCCAATGCTTCCAATTCAGCTCTATTGGCTGCAGCCATAATCCATTGAATGCCAACGAAAGTTTCTTAAGCTGGAAAAAACATCAAAAACGCTTCTCACAATCCACGAAACAATGCACCCTGCCCCACCTCCTTCACTAATTAATAAGTTGAACATTCTGCAGTCATTTTATACAAGTCGAATTAATTAGCTTCGTAAAAAGCATTTCAGGAATGATTTCCAAATTAAATTCGTTCATTTAACCGATGAGATCGGATGATACGGACAATAATCAGAGCTGACTGTATGATTACGTGGTACTTCATTTTGATTCTAAACTAAGCCCGATTATCTCGAGAAATAAACAATATACTACCACTGAAAACAGTGGGAAACTAGGAACTTACTCAACATTCTCCATTCATAACTAAGAAATTTCTGAAGAGGAAAGAAATCAGAACAAGATCACGGTAGCGGAAAAAGTCTTTCTTCATAGAATTCAGAAATCAGGAATATAGGAAATTACGTAAAATTATAGTCAACTCTTACAAAACCAATCTTTTTTACTAAGACAATTAGTACTGCAGGGCTATTCCAAAGTAGAATAAAAACATCGCATAAAACATAAGGTGGGAGTAATAACTGGAACCTTTTTGAGAGATAAATGTAAAAGAGCACCAAATCCATCCCGTTTCGCAATACATACATAGCAGAACTCATCCGGTACACAACCATCATGCAATTTGAGAAAATCCATAAGAATGGAAAAAAAAAGTAGAAGCGAAGAAACGATCATCTCGGCTGAGGAAGTAGTAAGCGTCACGGAGTATTTACTAACCTCGCAACATTCTAACAACCTAGCCTTCATAACAGTTTCCACAAGTGAATCGGATAAAGTTATCGCGGACATTCAAGTCGACAGGTCAACGACCTTTCCTTTTTATCACATAAACAAAACTTTTCGTCAATGTTTTATTTACATCTGTGTTACAAAATCGAAACAAATACGTGGTAAGCAGTTTTAATAAGCCTAATAAACTTTAAGGCTTCTAGCCTTTCTAGCCTTCTAGTCGTTCAAACTCGACTAATATCTAGAAATAACAAATACGAATAGAATGGAGGTGAAAAAAAAGAAAATTCAGAAGTTGGAAATCCTTGCATACGAGCATAATGGTATCCAAAACAAAAAAACCGAATAACTTCTATCGGAAATACGTTGACATATAACACAAGCCCAAAATATTCGATTTTGTCCAAAAAAACTTTTGCTTTTATTAAACAAGAATTATTAGGAGTAACTCAAAGATGAAAGAAATATAAGTATAATCACTGAATTCATCTACAAAGTTCTGGATTCTCGAAGCTTTCAACTGCTGGAAAAGAAAAGAGAAATCCAGAAATCTGGTACACAGAAATTATCTCCTGTGCCACATTAAACCCTCCCGTTTCCGCTTAATTTTTTTTGCAATTGCAGCACGCCATATAACAATGCCTCTGCTGATGGTGGACATCCAGGAACATATATATCCACAGGAATAATCCGATCGACACCTTTCAACACTGAATATGAATAATGATAATAACCACCGCCATTTGCACATGAACCCATACTGATTACCCATTTTGGCTCAGGCATCTGGTCATAAACGCGTCGAACAGCTGGAGCCATTTTATTAGTTACTGTTCCAGCAACAATCATGACATCTGACTGAAAAAGGAATTACTTCAAAGGATAATTGGATTTTTAAAACAACAGTTCACTTGCCTGGGACCTGTATGCAATCCATATATATGTAATCCACATAAAACTTGAAACCAAGATATATATAAGCAATGAAAATAATTTCTACAAATCAATTAGTAACTGAAACACTAACTCCGAGAAAATGAATATCCTGCAATCGAATCCTCTATGTATAGACATGAAATAACAAACCTGTCTAGGAGATGCACGAAAAACGACACCAAAACGATCCATATCATAACGAGGAGCGGCGAAATGCATCATTTCAACAGCACAGCAGGCCAATCCAAACGTCATCGGCCAAAGAGAAGATCGATGAATCATATTATTCAGATCATCCAAACGTGTTACAGCCATTTCGCCTTTCGGTAAAGGATCTTGCCAAGGTGAGCCCAACATTCCCCAGATCCCCTGCGAATAATGGCTTTGTAATACTAAAGTAAACTACTACACTAGATAACTTATAGCTCATATTGATCGGAAATAACCTTTGGCCTGGTCCCCTTCTCAGCCGGTGCCATCGGACTTGTTGGACCTGTTGCCTTGCTCGATTCGAGCCGAATTTGGTATGTTGTCGTTGCAAATACTTGTCGTAAATTTGAAAACATCCTGGCGCTGTTAGTCCTTTGCATGGTTATACCTGAAACAGAAAATAAAGGTATAGAGTATGACGCACACACAGAGCTTGTTCCAAATTTATGCAGCGGCGTTCTGGGATCTCTTAGATACGAAATACAAAGTCGCTAACCCAGAAAGACACTGGGGTCATCCTTGTAATAAAACGATGTTGAAATGAAATGCCAAAATGCTGCCCATCCCAGTTTCTGAGCATCCCAGTTCCTGAGCGCTCTATAGCATATCCACTTTCTCCTCCTCCGTATTATTATCCTTCCTCTCTAACGATCTAAAAATTGCTCAGGTAGAACAAGGAATTTCAGTGTGTTTGAGATAGTTTTACACACCCCAATCTTTAATTTTATATCTCAAGCGCTGAATTCGGACTTTGTGTCATTCGTAAATGTTCAGAGAGCTGTCCATCCCTCTTTTATCTCCCAAGAAGTGATAAGCATCTATAAAAACGGAAACATCCCAGACTACAGTTACCAACTCCACAAATCATGCACCGCTATGTTGTTTGAGTATCGTGGGGTTCCGGCCAGCCGTAAAATATTCGCAAAACAACCGCAGAACGCAGTAGCGCAGATTCCAACAGGAGGGGTTTGGATTTCTTTGTTCTTTGAATGAGAAGGTTTGGCATTCCGCGGGACTGCCGAGTGGTTAAGGTGTCGAGCTGGACGGTACTGATTCATCTTCTTTGTACGTTTTGTACAGTACACAGTAATGCCTATATTGAAGGACTGGAAGCAATGAAGAGGAGGCGAAGTGATAGTAATGCTGGTCAGTACAGCAAAAAGCGTCCATTTTCAAGACAAGCGAGGAAAAAATCCGTAAGTTTAGTTCTATATATGTTGCAATGATTACGAGTCTTCTCTGAATACCTTGCAGTTCTGCATTCAGTGAAGGATAATAAGACCTTGGAAGTTACCTTCAATGTCTTAGAATGTTTTATCGATTCATAACAAACAATGTAAGGTTTAACATGAAGCTCTGCACAAAAAGTTTAGATATGTTAGAAGCCGCATTTTGATCTAAATATCTTCTCCATATTGAAATTTTTTTCGCTAGTCTCCTGGACGCTTTGAAGTATGCCAGCTTGTAATGATACAACAGATAGAGCAGGTCATTTTCAATGGTTTCGCTATTGTGGTGATATAGCATTCGAGGGAGGCATTTAGCTAGCTATCAATTTCATGCAAATGTAAAAGATTTCAGTCCATTTAAATTTACAGAGTACTATTGATTTTGAAAAACATGAAGAGAAAATGATGAAACAAAAATCGAGGGAAGAAGCAGAACGGAAGTTATTGAAAGAACCTCACTCCATTGTCATTCATCGGGGAAAAGTTGGACAGTTTGTGCGTGCTCTGGAGCAAGATATACGTGTCATTATGGAACCTTTTACTGCTTCGAAACTTAGAGTAAGTTTATTTCTTTCTGATTTGTTGAAGAGAATCTTTTTTTTTTTCTATCCGGCAAGTACGAACACTATTTTTTTTTCTCTGAAATCCAGTGCGAAGGGCTCATTATTATGCTTTAAAAATAGCAGCGAAGATGATTACCACTCAGAGAATTCTAGCTTCAAACAAACAAACGAGGGTGTAAATTACGTAATATTTTGTTAATATTTAGATGGATCAAGCTGTTAATTAACTTGAAAGTAGCTTTGCATCCATGGGAAATTGCTGCTTAATACCTGATCTGAATTATAGTCATTTCTTAGAAACCAGTGGGTGGAGTTTTTAGCCAAATTCCATCCTTTCTCTTTGCCAAGTGGCAACGGAAGGATTTCAGGTGATGAAGCGGAACAATCTAAAAGATTTTATCGTGAACGGTACAGTTCTTGGCGTTACACATTTGCTTGTGTTGACTCGTGGAGAAAATTGGATAACGTTAAGAATTATTCGATCTTCTCAAGGACCAACATTAACTTTCCGAGGTAAAATTGGTCGCTGTCAAAATCAGTTTTCACCAAATAGTATTTTTATTAATATTTGTTTACTTAATGCATGTTCATTTATCGTTGAAGCGCATTATCATTATACCGTCCATCACCCTTGAAAAAATTTATATTTCTGGATTCAGTCAATGTAATAACATAAGGCGTTGCAGACATAGAATGGGCATATCTTATGATTTGAAGTCTTCGACCATAAATACCACTAAATCATTTAAACTTTTACCAACTAAAAACATTGGAGAATATAATCAAAGGCAGGTTCTCAATCTCTGCAAATCGCAGGCAGCGTTTGAGATCCTTCTGGTCTTACCGTCTTTTGTCATTTTGACAACGAGGTTCCACAGATAGGAAAGGCAATGTCAAAATTTTTTTATTTTCCTCTACACTATTACAGTGAAAGAATACACGTTAGCAAGGCATATTATTTCGGCATCAAAACGCAAAATGCATTTCCAGCGATTATTCACTACTGCTCCATTAATCGTGATGAGTGGTTTCAACTCAAACTGCGGTCAACATTTGCGACTTGTGCAGTCTACATTTCAGAATATGTTCCCTACAGTAAATGTCGACACAGTCCGTTTTGCTTTAAATTTTTTAGAGCAACAAGCTTCCCTTCATATAAAGTTAGCCGAAACTATTTCGATAAGAATATAATTTAGCGATCATATTGTTAAATAAGGTTTCAAAATCATATAAATAATCGTGTAGAGATTTTTGTTTTTGTTAAACTAAGGCTTAAAATGAATATATATTTCTCTTTTATTTAGGTGGACTTGTCTACTACTCGACGCTGTGTGCTGATCAACTACAGTGTCTGTGATGACACTATCCAGTTGAGACATTAGTATGCTTCATTCCTTTAATCAGCCCATTTGCTGAAGTTGTTTACTCTTCTAAAATTTTTTTTAGCGCAATCAAAGCAGTTCCTGCAGGATTAAGCAAGTCGACCAAAAAGTTGATTCAAAGCAAGATTCCGGATTTATCGAAATACAAGGATATCGAAGATTACTTTCTAAAGTGTGTTTATAAAGGGAAATTTTATTTGGAATTCAAAAGATTTACTAAAAAAACATTAAAAAATTTCCGAAGATTCCGAGATCGTGAACTGTTCTTTTTAGTCCTGGTCAGTTGAGCGAAAGTGAGTATGAGTTTGAACAAAAGGAGGTCAAGCTACCGCAACACTTAACAACACGAGGATGTTTAGAGGGACAGAAAACAAATATAAGGTAGTTAATCTTTCGTTCTTCAATAGTCTCTTCATTGCTTTGGTTCTTACAATAACCTTTAGTATGCTGATATTGAAATATACGCACAGTGATTTTAATCAAGTTTTCCAGACTTTATGAGCTTGGTCCTCGGCTAACTTTGCAATTAACGAAGATCGAAGAAGGTGTTGATGAGGGCGAAGTTCTTTATCATGCCTACATCACGAAGTCTCCCAAGGAACTGATTCGGTTACTAAAAGAATTGCCGAAAAAGAAGTTACTTTTATTCCATTACGCCACTAACAAAATTGCGTCTATTATGAAGTCAATTTATTTACTTGAGATAAAAAAATCTAAATCAGGAACCTACTGAGTTTGCATCATTATTGAGGTAACAGCAGTGTTCCGTTACATTTCAGGAAACTGAAAAAGAAAATGCAAATGAAAAATGAACGACGGGTCATCCATCGTTTGAAAATTCTGGGTGAAAAGAAAGCCAAATTAGAGGAATCTTTGAAGGAAGAAAGGGAAAATTTAATAAGAAAACAGAAAGAAGTTACTGGTCATGAACAATTCGATGATTGATCTATGATTCATGTGCATGCTTAATTTTGACGGTTCTTTTTTCTTTCTCCTGCTCTTGGTATGTGCTTTTGAAATCGGGAATTTGAGGGTTCATTTTGATTTAAACGAATTTTCTTTTGGTTTTTTTCTTTTTGTCCGTTTGCTTAATTCACAAATGAAACCTGGTAGATCTTAGCAACTTTATTTCCTTTTGTTTGTAATGTTGGGAATATTTTGCTTTTTCCATACTAAATGTATCAAATTTACGAGTGGTTCTGACAGGAATTTCTTCTTTTCATCTTAAGAACTTTGCGAACGAAATTATGCTCAAACGAAGGAGAAATGGGTCTAAATAATTTAATGGTACTTTGTCAATCGGGCCGAAAATTGAGTGTGATCGTACGTTAGACCTAAATATCTTAGAAAGATCATCAACTGACACGCAAGTCAGTGAAATCATTGAAATCACCTTTTTTTTGTTTCTTTTTCTTGTCCAACGGTTTAACTTATGGCCATGCTGAGTTTTCAAGTGGATCGACGTGATATTTCAAGTTATGAACCTTAGCTGATAAATTTTCCTGGTTTTTGCGTCTTCAATAATAGTTCCTTTTGTTGTAACTGACAGTTTTATGTTGTAAGTGTTGCCAAGGGACGGAGAAAATCGAACGGCAGATCGCTTGTGACGAGCCATTTCAGCTTTATTAATTTGTGTCTGTGTAAGCACTGATTCTTCAAAGGATTGAAAACACAGCTCAGTATAACATGTTTCGTGCATACAAGAGTTGAAGTTGCACAAAAAAGCAAAGCAGGCTGTACCACAATTTCAAGGCCAGAAAGATTTCTTTAAAATGTTCCAAATTTTGGGTATTTTCGCGAAATTTTAGTTGGTTTGAATTTTTTGATTCTTGAAGTATTCAGGGAATGTCATAAAATTTAGTAATCGTTAAAGGATCTATTTCTCAATCAGATTATGTGCCTGCAAAGAATAGACCCAGAAAGCTTCCTAATAAGATATTTATAGCTATAATGATCGTGAAATTTGTAATCCGTCGATACTTAAAGAAACGCGAAGAACCTGATCTACCAATCCATCAAATTTTTACACATTTGAAATCTGAAAGTTTCTTCCATGGTATATAATCCCTAACAAGTGACACTAAGCCTATACAAAGAAAAAGTAGCATTCGAAGGAAAGTATGCTTTAAAAAAGATATAAACTTTAAGGAAAAAAACACTTGGAATTCTAGAATGATGCTTAGAAATCAGTGGACACACATCTTTTACTGCCTAAAAACATGTATGCTGTATCACCCAGGGAACCATTAAATATTTCAGGAATAAGCTCCGAAAGAGGTTTTTATAAAAGTAAGTGAGAAAGCCATAGTGGTTTCTTAGTAAACATTTTCTCAGCTATGCCGTTTCAGTACTGGACATACCGACTTATCCGATCAGTTGTTAAATTTGTAAAAAATATCTCAAAGCAGCTATTAACAGACATGGTAAACAGAAACTTTTAAGTTCCAAATCCATCCTTTAGGATTTCTTGAAGACATTTCGAAATCCTGACGAGTATTCCCGGGGATTTTTAAACTCTATGTAATTCTCCAAATTCTTGGAAGATCTAAAGAGGCGGAGAAGTTGACCGAAACTTGAGAAGTTGTAAGTTATCGATCTTTGTAGGTGGTATGTCCGGATCATCCAGTAATATGTCAGGAACTAAATGGGTCCCGACAATAATATGTCGGGACCATCCAGGTTTGATTTGCTGCCTTGTAAACTCTGCAGTCTTCTGCATTCTATCGAAATGCTAATTTTTCCATCGTTTAGTGATTTATATTCCGTCTCTAAACAGTAGTTAAAAGCAATCAGTGCACGACTTGTGGTCTAATCTGATCTAAAAGAATTTAAATTGGGAAAAGTAGAAAAGACAAAACGGTTGAAGTATACAAATGTGATTTATTACTGTAATCAAGAGAAAACAGCGTATCGATTAGCATCAATCATGAGTTGGCGGCCATCAACCTGGCTTTAGCACATTCTGGGCAAAGGATGTCGGCAGCATCTGTTATGAAGCCTTTTCCAACTAATGACGTTGAACACTGAGCACAAATAAAACAATCGTTATGCCAGTGTCGATCCTCGAATGAAATAAATTTGGCACCTCCAATTCCTGAATTTAAATCCAATTTTGAATTTAAATCCAATTGAATTTAAATCCAGTTTACAAAACATTTCTGCCACAGGTGTTGTTCGTTCCTGCTCTCCCACTGTTTCTTTTCTTTTTTTTTTTTCTTTCTGTTTCCTTGTCTTCACCTATCATCCCAAAAACGACTAAACAAAACCTCAAGAGTATCAAAGTAAAACAAGATCCTCATGATTTCCAGGAATTTTCAACAATGAAAATTCCATTCGGTAAGCAATGTTCTGACGAAAAAAGTGACTGAACGTTCACGTGGATAAGTATACTCCATCTTTACCTACTGTTTTTTCAAGTAGTAGGTAAAAGTGGAACAGTGGGTAAAGATTGAGCATATATAGAGGACGAAGTATAAAGCTAAAATATCATCGAATGAAGAAAGAGAGGAGAGAGAACCTGTAATTGGTTTAACGCAAGCATTGCATCGTTTAGCGAATAATTCACCATAACAATTAGCACAGTATGGTTTCTCGTCCTTTGACGTGAATCTTTGACCAGCTAACGATGTATTACAATTTGTACAGCAGAAACATTCCCGATGCCATGGCTCATTTTTGTATGTTACACCACCGGTACTTATTACCTAAAATTGAACTGGTCACTTGTCTCTCAATCATTTGATGTTAGCCACAAAATAAGTCTTTCGCTACTACCAGCAACAAAAAAGTTTTTTATCCTTTTCTAAATACTTAAATTTTCTATTTACGCAAGCATCGCTATTGCTAATTAATTTGATGGCATAAAATTTGGGGTTAATGGATGATAAAAGAAAGCAACATATAGCAAGGGAGGGGCTTGCATACCTTTCTACATTTACAACACCTCGTTGCGAATTTCTCCTCATAGCAAGATGCACAATAAACTTCATCGCTTTTAGGTATAAAACTTTTAGTGCCAATCGGTGTTTTGCATAGTGCGCAACAAAAACATTTATCATGCCATTGCTTACCTTTGTATTCCATCTTTTTCATGCCTGCAAGAAAGAAATGAGCATGTTGGTAACACAGTGTCGTATCCATTATCCACGCTGGTATCATTTCGAATGATTACAGTAATGTCATCATATCATCCCATTTGTTTGCAAGTCATTTTTGTAATATTATAAGTATTAGAAGGACTAAGTTATCAGAGGATGCTTAGCAAAAGCGCAATCGTCGCTATTTTTGTGAAAGAGAAGACATACCAGCCCGAAATATTTCACCACAACCATCACAACGTGTTGCAAATGCTTGATCATAACAATTGGAGCAGAAAATTCGATCATTTTTACTACCAAATGGCTTATCAACTAGTGAGATTTTACACATATTACATAGGAAACAATCCTCGTGCCAATGTTTATCTCTGTATGACAGGTCCTGAATATTGTCATTATCATCATCAATAATACTTGTGTGTGTGACTTATGAGCTTTTAATTTCATCAGAACAATAAATCGTCCTTCTCTCTCTTTCTCTGTCCCTTCCTATCCCTCTTTCTCCCTCTCTCTCTCTC